AAAAGGAAAGAAAGAGAAGGAAAGAAAGAAAGAAAGAAAGAAAGAAAGAAAGAAAGAAAGAAAGAAAGGAAGGAAGGAAGGAAGGAAGGAAGGAAGGAAGGAAGGAAGGAAGGAAGGAAGGAAGGAAGGAAGGAAGGAAGGAAGGAAGGAAGGAAGGAAGGAAGGAAGGAAGGAAGGAAGGAAGGAAGGAAGGAAGGAAGGAAGAAGAAGGAAGGAAGGAAGAAAAGAAAGAAAGAAAGAAAGAAAGAAAGAAAGAAAGAAAGAAAGAAAAAGAAAGAAAAAAAGAAAGAAAGAAAGAGACTCCTTGAAAATCAGAATTGAGCAAGGGGAAGCCAGTAAAGTTATAAGAGATGAAGAAATAAAAATATATATATATAAAGAATGAAAAAATAGAAGAGAATGTGAAATATCTCATAAGAAAAACAATGGATCTAGAGAACAGATCAAAAAGAGAAAAGATAAGAATGATTGGACTACCTGAAAGTTCTGATCAAAAAATCTTGATACAATAATACAAGAAATAATTAAAGAAAATTGTCCTGAAGCATTAGAACCAGAGAAGAAAGTAGAAATAGGAAAAAATCCACTAATCACCACCTGAAAGAGATCTGTGAGGAAAACTCACAGGAATATTATAGCCAAATTTTGAAACCCCCAAATCAAGAACAAAATATTACAAGCAACAAGAAAAATACAATTTACATATGGTGGTGCCACAATTGGAATCACACAAGACCTAGCAGTGGCTACACTAAAAGACTTCAGGTCTTGGAACACAATATATATCAAAGAGCAAAAGAACTGGGCTTCCGAACCAAAAGATCATGCCTAGCAACGCTAAGCACAATTCTGAATGAAAAAAAAAAAAGGACATTTGATCAATAGTCAGACTTTCAAGTTTTTGTTAAAAAAAAAACCTGAACTCAACAGAAGACTTAACATACAAGAGCCAAGAGAAATATAAGGTACATATCAATGACCAATTACAAGGGACTAAATAAGGATAGAATGTTTATCTTTTATGTATGAAAAATGTAAAACCTATGTCCAAGATTGTTACTAGTGATTAGGTAACTTATAAGGAAGATTGGGATAAACCTCAGCATGATATTACTTCAAAAAGTAAAACCATTCAAGTACAGCTAAAAGAGTAATTATCTTTTACAAATAAGATGCAAGAGGAAGAACCAATACAGAGTAATTAGATGGGGGAGGGAGGCTGTTAGTTCTGGAAACCTGCTCTCATTGGAATGGGTTTAAGAGGGGAAAATACATACACATTTAGAAGAGTATAAAAGTCTTCTAAATTTAGAAAGAAATAAAACTAAGGGGATAGGGAGGGGGGAGAGGATAAATGAGGGATCTTTAGAGGGGAGGGTGTGGGAATAGGTTAAAAAGGGGATATAAAAGGGGGTTTAGATTTAGGGGAATGGGAGGATAAGGGAGGGATTGCTGGAGTGGAGGTAGGTTAAGTAATAGGAGGGTAACGTAGCAGGTAGAAGTAAAGTAAAGGTGTTAGGAGAGATAGGAAAAATAAAGAGATAAGTACAAACATAAAAACAAAGATTAGGAGTAGAATCTCTTAGGGATTATATATATATATATATATATATATATATATATATATATATACATATATATGTATATATATATATATATATATATGTATATATATATATGTGTGTGTGTGTGTGTATACACATATATAATATCCATATGTACATACATATGTACATATGTACATGTATTCATATGTGTGTATATATGTATAAGTGTATGTATATATCAATACCTATATATAAATATATCCAATCCTTAACTATAGCCTTGGGGTGGTAAGTAGGAGGGAGGAAGGGGGGGAAAAGAACCAAGTAAAAAGTACATAGCAGAGAACAAAAGAAAACCTACAAGGAAGCAAAGAAAAGATGGACAGCTTTCAACATAATGAACAGTATTTAATACATAGGCTTTCTTGAAATGAAAGTTATTCCTATATAATTTGAATCTTCTATGTTCTGCTGTGCATGTGACGTTTTTTGTTTTTTTCTTATTTTATATTTAAGTTTACAATGTTTCTTTTTCTTTTCTTATTATGTATTTAAGTTTTAGCATTTGTCTAAAACCAAAAAAAAATTTTTAAAGAAATGGATGATGCTGATTCTACCCAACAATGTGAAGGAAAGAAAAGTGAAGGAAGAATTGGGAGGAATTCCAGTGAGAATAACTGAGTTAGAGCTGAAGGAAAGTGGACTTATACCCAGGCAGGGTCAGCTCTGGCAGACATTGCTCAGGGCAGGGACCTAGACTGCCAAACATCCCCCAACCTTATGCGCTACAGACTAGCCTTGCCTCAGGTCTGTTTATAAGCAAAGGGAAGGGAATTAGAAAGTAGGTTAGAGAATGAATACAAGAAAACAGGTGAAACAGCAAAGATATCAAGGGAAAAAAAAACTTAACAAAAGCCACACACAGACATAAATCAATAAGAAAGATCAACCCTAAAACCAGAAGGGAAAATGAGTAAAAACTCTTAAGACAAAAGTATATGATGAGGTTAAGTCAAGATTAAAGATTGGTAAGGCATGAAAGGTAGTGGAACAATGGAGGCAAGGGTGAGTGCATTAACTGGAATGGTTAATAATAGGGTTGAGCCTACGAAGAGAGGAAAGTGAGGTCAAAGGAAAACGGGGAAAAACACAGGAAATGCACGATGTTAGGATGCAAATGAAGAGTCAATTTGGGACCAAAGAACACAGAACGATGGAAGAATAGGAGATGATGGTATGAGTTCCAAGTCACACATATGACACAGTTATGGGTAATGGTGAGCTGCAGGATATGATCATCACTGTGGGTAGCTAAGACACAGTGAAGATGTAGGCTACGGTAACTGAATAGGTTAATCAATTAGGAAACCAGAATCTCTGAGAGGGCATCACTGTGTGTATATTCTAAGCATTTGGGTAAGAATTGGAATGAAGAAGACCATAACCCAGGTCTTGAAATCCTGGAAGCAGGTAGATCTCAGCAACAAGGAGTTGGTCCAAATGGAGGAAAGGTTTCTGAGTGATGTTGGCAGAGGGAGGATGTTGAAGTGGCAGTGGGGAGCAAGGGGTCTGCCAGCTCTTTCTTTCAGGGTTACAAGAAGGAAAAAAACAGCATTAAAGAAGGCAGCTGTGGACTCCAGTGACAGTGGTCTTTTCATGACCTCGTTTCTCTCTAGTTCTTAAGTATTTTCTTCATTCTTTTCAAATTATACACACACACACACACACACACACACACACACACACACCCCTACATACATATATGTGTATCTAGGTGTGTGTGTGTGTATATATACACATATATACATATATATACATACATACACACACATACACACTGTGGACATGTTGTAGTACCCTCCTCCCACCAACAGACTGGAAGCTCCCTGAGAGCAGGAAATATTTTTCATTTTGTCTTTGTAGCCACAGCACCTAACACCGTGCCTGGAGCACAGCTCGGGCTCCATATAAACTTGTTGGATGGATCAGACCTTTTGAAGTCTTCAAGAAAACAGGAAATCTCTATTTTAAAGGGGAAGCTTGGGGGAAAAACATTAAAAATGAGGGAGGCTTTGGGCAGCAGAGAATCACAGCACTAATTTTTAGATGAGGAATATAATCTTTAAAGATGGCAGACATTTTCCTTTGGTCCTTGCTTAAGAAATGCTTTTCAAAATTGCAATTTGCAGTTAGCACCAAACTATTCCCTTTAATTCATTTATTTCATTCCTGTCCTCTGCCATATAAACATAATTACCAAGAAGAATCAATTCATTCCTACTTAGAAAAGGCTAAACTGAGAAAAAAAAAAAGACTGTGCCCCACAAAGTTTTAAGAAGACAGGGGATGCTTGCTGTGGTACTGATGAGGGTTCCTTCTCCCCAGATGGTTTCTAGGGGTACTGGTCACATCAAGCACATCTGGGGAAAAGATTGACTTCTCTACCTGCTCTTTTGTTTATTTATTTATTTTTGTTTAATTTGTCAAGCTGGCAGCTCTGAGTTGGTATACCTAATGAAAAAAGTAGCATGTTAGATACAAAGTGCACAACCTCGGTGTCACCTCCAACTAATCTCATGTCACCATTTATCTAAGGGAGTCTGATTCCTCATTATCAAACAGAAAGGGCTATTTCAAGAAACAAACGAAGAAAACGGAAAAATAAGAACTTTTTTTCTTAGATTAGCAGAGTTGTGAACTTAAGGGGAACTAAAGGTGGTCCTTCTATTAAAATCCTCCTCCAGTGTTTCATTGTGGAATTGAAGTGATAGCCAAGGCACAAAAGCCAAGCCAGCGGAAGCTTGGGTAGGGCTTACCAAACTGGAAAGGCTTTGAGTACGCCCTCTCCAATGGGTTGTACACCTTTCCCTGAGAATCAGCCTGGCTAAGTTGAGCTCATCCCCAAGTTTGCTGCAGAAGAATCAATTTATTTTTTTTTTTTTAGCCACGGCAACTCATAAAGACCATTTCCTAAGTTGTTGAAGGGGATCAATGAAGGGCATACCTATACTGACAAAACCATCGGTCCTTGAAGAATTGAAGAGCTTACATTGTCCAGAAGTTCATTCCAGTTCTACTTTCCTGGTGTCAAGGTCCATGTATCTGGGTGCTTAATGTTGCCAATTGGATGACAATTTCCAGCCTGGATCTAGAGGTGGCTGACCTGTTTAACTACTTCAAGCAAGCAAATTTAAATGAGCATTTACAAAACTGAGAAGGGAGGGGGAAATTAAATCATTGAAGAAGAATTATTAAGTGGCACATACTTTGCTCGGAGCTGGGGATACATGGATGGAAGTGAACCAGTGCTGGCCCTCAGGAAGCCTACATCCTATAATATAGAAAAGTGTTATTCATGATCAATTTTTTAAATGGTACGTATTCTTGTGAAAGTAAATTGATGACAATTATTTTTTTTCAAAATGACTGAAAATAAAGTTTTATTTCCATCCACATTTGACATATTTAATCAATAGCAAAAATAAAGTTTGCTCACATTTCTCACAGAAAGATTTCACAGGAGCATTTCTTTGTTCTAATCTCACACAAGCTCTATCTTGATGCTAGGATCACCAGCAGCTTGCTAGGGTGTCTGTGTGTTCATACAGGGAGAGTTTAGGTGTCTTCAGAATGTCTCCAGGGTACCCAGGAAATCTGACTGCCTCTCTCACTTCCATTATCCCTCGCAGACATGACTTTAAAAATATTTCCATTGATGATAAAAGCAGGCTCCCCACAGGAGACCTCTGTGTTAGACTATTGGAAAGGCAGGGGGTGGAAGGCGTGTCATTGTCTAAGGTGACAAGAAAGGAGATAATACAGTCTACATTAACATTCCACAGTCAGAGTCTTTTGTCCCTGCACATTTCTGGACTGTGACCATACAGAAGAGAGATGTGGTCAGGCCACGTGAGATTACGAGTTTCACTTCTTTTCAAAAGACAGCTCTGTTCTGTGTGAACCTCACGAATTGCCACTGGGAACAACAGACTACAGGAAGCATTATAATTCAGCTCTGATCTGCTGAATGCCAGTGGACAAAATGTCCTGAAAGCATTCTTAAATGGCTGCTTCTTGGTTTGGAGAAAGGAAATGATGGGATCTTTCAGCAGCTTGATTATCAATTGCCTTGCCGAAACCAACTAAAACAACCCCTGGTTCTTTCTTTTCGATGTATCTGAATGCGTGATTCTTCAAAATGGCCTGGACTTGCCTGAAAAAATCTGTAATATTTCCTCCCATTTTTGTACTACAGTATATAGTGGTCTTAGCTCCCTGGTGGAGGAAGGTGAATGGTCCTTATTTACCAGAAAATGATGGCTTACTGGTAAATATATCTCTTCTGGGGGCCATTGGCTTCCCCTAGAACACCCCAAAGGGTATTCCAAAAAACAAGAGCAAAAAGGTGCATTGTGTTGGGACTGCAGCAGTCAGTGAGGGGAAGGGGCGTGGTCTTTGCTTGCCTCCAGAGAAGAACGGTGATGCATCCTCTGCCACTCTAGGGCTCTCTCTGCAGGCATCACTGGCAATGATGACCATGGTCTCTAAAGGAATGTCACAACAGTGACCAGGGTAGGACTCTTCTACTGTAGGGCTTACCCTAGGATCCCCAGGAACAAGAGGAAAAATGTTTACTGCTGGAAATCCCAGAGCATCCCTTCCCTTTGCTATAGAAAACAGCAAAGTTGCCCCAGTGACTAGGGGAACCTCTATCAGTCAGCCTTCCCTCTAGAGCCTGCCTCCCAATTCTTAGAGATGGAGTTATCATTTAGGGAGATTCTGCATCTTTGGGGCATCACTGGCCTGAAATAGATTCCTTCTTTACTTTACATAAGGATGAATTTTGTGGAGCTTATAAAAAATACTGCCTGCATTCCTTCTTCAGGTGACATATACTTAAAAACTACCCCTGATACTCACAAGAAGACTGGAGTAAGGGGTAGTCATGGAGGTCAAGGGCCTTTGCTTTTGTTTCATTCAATGGAGAATTACGTCATCAAGAAGAGCTTTGTGAGCCTTCAGAATGCTGAAGTGAGAGGCACTTGAAATGATGGACTATTCACAACTTAAGAATATTATTTTGTGAACTACTATCACAATTTGACTTTAAGATGTGGGGCCTTTAAATTATTTTTGTAGATGGATTCTTGCCTCTCTCCAATATCTGGCACAAATCCCTGTGTATTTTATGGAAACAGTTTTGCACATCCTTGCAAAAACCAAAGGTAATTCTTCATGGGCAGGTCCATATATTTGAAAACGAAATTGTACTCAACTATTTATGTGTGTAAGGATACGCAGAAAGGACAGTCAAGGGGACTTTTCTATTTTTTTCATGGCAAAACTCGTGGCTTTGCTCAAGAACTTGTTAGACCCCTCCAGGAACAGATTTAAAACAATCACATTCCAGATCACATTTCTGTGGCATTTAATCCACTGCTCCTACCTCTACAGACACAGATTGGGATACAGGACAAAGAACCCTCCTCACTTCATAGCAAGTTGCTTCACCTTTCTAGGCAGATGATGTTGTGTTTTCTGTTGAAAATTGAATTATTGCCATAGTTAATTGCAGTCTATTTTTAGCACCAAAAATAGGTACTACTCTAAAAAATGCCAGTAATAGCTGCCAAGGAGACTGCTGTGTTTATGAGTGAGCAAGCTTTAAGGAAAAAACCTAATAGCTCTGTATCGTGGATCGAGCCACTGGCACAACAAATCTGCAGCGCTCACTAGTCACCTGTTCAGAATAGTAAAGTCCTTTTTATTTCTCGTGTGGATCTCAAGCAATATCACAGGCAAAAAAAGTAATCAACAATAACGTCTTCTTGACTATGACAGAAGTTTCTAGGAAACATTTGAATCTTCTGATTAATGTGAAAAACAGTATTAACGGAGACGCATGCCGTATACAACAGCGCTGGACTTGAAAAACAAAATCTAGCTAAAATTCATGAACTGAGTATGCATATTTTTAGGAGAATAATTAATACAATTTCAGTGGTATCTGGAGATACATTTGAACATGTTACATATAAAATTTACTATGTACATACAGATGCATATATATGTACACATACGCATGTATCCTACATATAGTATGTGTATGTACATCTTTCTTGCCTTCTCGGTATGTGTATGTCTACATAAATCAAAGCATTATGTGCATACATATATACGTATGACCAATAATTGCACTTAGAAGCCAAAAATAAAAAGCTGAATATTTGGAGGAAGTTTTACCTAAGCAGCTGAGGCCAAGAGATGGGGCTATTCATCGTTTTTGGTTCTGGGTTCCCTAGAGCTGAATCTCCAAGGTGTCTCTGGGCAGTTGCTTTGGCCAAACCCTTTTTGTACCGGCAGCACCTGTTCTGTGCTCCAGCAAATAAACATGACAAAAAGCAAGTGAAAGCAATGAAAACCACTTAAAAGAGTCAAGTTTCTAACTTCATACAGAAGGCTAACGTTATTTTCACAGAAACTGAGGCTGAAAAAACCAACAAAAACCAAAGCAGAGCCAGGACCCATTTCCTCTCCCACTGGCCCTCCCATTTAAGAAAGCACATTTAAGGAAACCAATAGCAAAGGACGTGGCTTTTTATCTGCATAATACTGATGAAAAACAACCATGCAATATCACAGTCATCGCACATGAAAAATATTCATGGTACTTGTTGGTGAACATTTGTGGCACAGTTCGAAAACACCCTGGTGAAGTCCGGGATTTGAGCATCAAGATTCATCTCATCTTGTCAGTTGAATGCAGGCACCCTAAGGATAACATTGACCCCTAATCAATAGCACTACACATTGTAATGTTTGGGACAACTGATCGACTGTCTGATGAGGACAGTCCTGTGTGCCAAGGAAGTAAGAGTGCCAATTAACAACAAAAGCCATTGCACATGAGGACGCAAATATCCACACTCAACATGAGCACTTCTGCAGGTTTCCCAAAAGACTCCGTCATTAACCTTTGGTGCAGGGAGTGAGTTATTGTTACTAATGATAGTTTAGCCATAAAGGGGCCTGCAGAGCACATGTGTGAGAGATGACGACAAGCAGGTGTAACTGTTGCAATCACTTCATTGGGAATGGAAAATCTGGGCTTAAAAAAGTAAAACAAGGTTCAACAGCACATATTCAGACATAGCTGATGGACCAAAATATAATTAACTGAAGCATCCGCGAATCAAAAGTGAGCCCAAAAGGCTGATTTGTATTCTAGCTATACAAAGCTAAGCCCCTTTGAATTACGTGAACTAAGTGGGATTTTCACAGCACCACAAATAATTACAAATTATACAGAAGAGAGAGGCAAAATAAGAGAAATGCAATCAATAAGAGATTATCAAGACTTTCCCTGCTCAATGAAGAACTTGTTCACACAGGAAGACGATTAAGATAGTCAAAAGCAAAATTAATAGACTTTCACTACAAGCCAGCCTCTCCTTGCTGTCACGTTAAGGAGTCAGCCTTCACCTCCCGCAGGCCCCTTGGGATACAAATCAAGGCATTGAATAGTACCCTAGGTAGTACCTAACTTCCCTCCAGCAGCTCAGGCCCAAGGAGAATCATACATTTGTCTGACAATGGTAGGCTAAGGAGTCAATTCAAAAACTGGCTCTCTTTAGAAAAAAGAACAATGTATGTAGGCACAGAAGGACAGGAAACTATCGCTGGGCAGAGGATCCATTGATTTTGCTGTTGTTTATGCTTTTAGTCCCCCGTTCTACTTAGAAGAGTTGTAACTTCTGGTATATTCAATGACACTGGAAGGGTCCAAACACTTACACACTTCCAGGGAAATAGCCATTTGTTTACTCCCAAATCAATAATATCAAATGCAAACACTTACAAAACAACAACAAAACCCTGGGAAAAAAAATTTTTTTTGGGGGGGGCACTTTCTTAACAAAGTCTGATGTCTGGATTCTGCACTTTGACACCAGGTCAGAAAGGATATCGTTTTGACCACTGTGCTTGTCACCCACTCCTGTTTATGATCATTTATGAGCCTCAAGCCCAGGATGCATGGAATAGCCTAGTTTAGGAGCACTTGACTTCTGTTCCATGGTAAGGTTCTGGGCTTCCTCTAGCTCTGCCTGGGCTTTCAGCAGCTGCCAGGGGCTACATGGAAGAGGATCAAGGAATGAAACCCTGAGGTTGCCACTCGAGCCAAAATTAAGTAATAACTGAGCGAAGGCCAGGATATGGATGGGCAAAATGAGGTCATCATAGCCTTTGAGCTTACACTTGAATTGACAGAGGGATGAAGAATGCTTATTATGCCCATAGATTTGGAGACGGTCAAGCATCCCTTGGTAATTGAAGTAATGGGGTGAGTGACTTGCTGGGGTCACTCCTCATCGCTATTCATAGTAATCAAAAGAATCACAATGTTTTCAGATTTGTGCACGCCCCCTGACAAGTCCAGATTCTCACATGTCTGCTTCTGGTTGAAAAACATACATAAAACAAAAGCACTTACGTGGACAGGATATGACTAAAGAAGTCAAAGAACAGAGAAAAAAGCTGGAAAAGCTTGATAATACAGATATTTTAAACAGTATTCTCCCTCAAATCTGGATTCTCTAATCTTGTAACTGGGCCCCTGTGAACAAAAACAAATGCCCCAAGGAACTTTGCTGGCATCGAAAAGGAAGACTTCTTATGTGATCACTCAATTCTGCTCTGCCATGAACAGTCAGGGGCGGGCCTTTGGAACTCTGACTAAACCTTTTTTTTTTTCCTTACTATTGTACTTTAAAAAAAAAAGCATTTCCAATCACCTTAGAGATACAGCTCTTATTTTAAATTATAATGCCTTTGTAGTAACTGATTTGGTAACAAAGATTCCCCCAGAGGTATAAGTGTAAACTTTATGGGAATGAATATATATATTTTAAATATTAAAAATATGTATCAGATCACTCTCTTTGGGCCATTTTAAGATAGAGAATAAACTAAATAGATATATTAGTTTAGCGATATACGATCAGCCAAATCCTTTCCCTGTTGTGAAAAAGTAAGACTACAACTAGATACTTGAAAAAAGTCAGCAAAAGGCTCTTACATGAAAGCAGTATTTAGGCCTGCCTTAGTACTGCATATTTAAAGGCCCGTGAAGGGTGTTAAAAGGAGACGCAGTATCCCGTAGTAAGGAAGCTCTAATTTGGCATGGGAAGTTTTACAAAGCCTTGTCAAGACACACTGTAGCTACCCAGGAAGCAGTATGTATACACATGTGTCTATGCACACACAGGTACCAGAGATGATCATTTGAGAACTCTATCTTATAGTCAACAGCCAGATTTATACAGGGATGTGTCACTGTTTGGCATTTTGATATTCTGATAAATATATACACACAAATCTCATGTGTTATGTATATGACAATACACACATATATATATATACATATATGTTACTCTTTATAGTAGTTCACACTGGATATAAGAACTGAACACTCATTACACAATAATTTCCTTTTCAAACAACTGTTTAAACTTCAAGAGGGCAGGCTGGGGAGTCAGGATGATCAGATCTCGGCGACGGGGTGTACATCTTTTCAACTTTCAGTAATCCCTGCAGGTTTGATTAGCAGCAAAGCATCCCTTTCATCTAGGTATTTATTTTTTAGGTAAACATAAAATATCTCCATATATACACATTTATATGTACATACATATGCACACTGTACATGAATATAGTCTACTCTTCTGGCCTAAAATTCAAAAACTGACAGTTACTCTCTGAAGCTGTACAGCTTGCAAATACTGTCTACGCTGTATCAAACTTGAAGGTTATTAGCACCCAGGTGGTTGAGATCAAGCCAATTCTTTCATTTAAGTTGCAAACTGCAGTTTGGGATTTCTATTAAAATTAGCATTGGATACAGTGAGTCACCCAATTTGTTATCTGAATCTTGCTTTGTTTTTGTTCTTGTTTTTCAAATCTATCCCTATTTTTGATACAAGGAAGGCTACATGCCCTTAAACACACAGTTCCAGCAATCCTGAGGATCACATTATTGTTTAAAAAAATAGGAAAAACTATTTTTTTAAATGGAAGAAAGTTCTGTTAAGGAATGTTAACTCCCAGCAAATGAAACTTGCAGCATTCTAACTGCGTAGCAGGCACAGAGCTCCCTGCAGAGACCGGAGCGGCCGTGGATGGCAGCCGCATGCCCTGTGCATCAAGAACCCCGGAAGGCATCCTGGATTCATTTCAGCATTGGTTTCTTCTCTTCAATACCCTTCCGGCAGAGCCTGTCCCTTTGGCCATCACACGGTAATAACTGAAGTCCTGGCAGGTTAACTTCATTGGTAAAAACAAACCCCAGTCCACTCAAAACATTTCATCTTTTCGTTGGATAGCTCTTTGCTCCCCATGGATAGGAATGATACCTAAAGAGAAAAGAGGCTCTAGTGAGAAATACTTGAGTTCACACTATCTTACTGCTATTAGGAGAGGCAGCCCTGCCTCTCTGCTGGAAGAATCTTCAACTGGGAGCCAGAAGATGGAACGTCAAGTCCTTGGTCATGACTCATCACTGCCATGAGACTACGTCTAACCTCCTTGAACCCCCGTCTCCTTAATAGAGACATCACTATTTGTACTGCACCACGGCAAAGTCCTTTTCAAACTCTGAAGTTCTATATTGAGGGGAACTCTTATTAGGAGGCCATTAATGAAAACATGCTTGTGCAGACAGCAAAGGAAATGTGAATGTTAAAAGAGTCCCTCAGAAAGGAAGATGTTGATTCTGGTGCTCACTTAAATGGAAAATAATGAAGCAGTTCAAAGTGATTTGCAGATATTTGAATGTCAATGGACTTAAAAATGTGTGTTTTTACTTGCTGGGTAGTCATTCTGGCAAATGAAAGTATACAGAGGGAGATATGCCTCCTGGGCAAAGACTACTTGGTGCTTTGCTGGGACTCAATAAATGTTTGTGATTTTTCCCTATCATAAAATAATCTTGGTGCATATTTTAAAATTCACATATGTATTTGATTCTACATAGATTATCTTCTCTAATTGTACATAAATTTGGCAGGGTTCCGCACCAAGAGCCTCAATATGAAAACAGAGAAAAATAATGTTCTTTTCTTGGAGTAATTAAATATGGATGTACCCACAAGTTCAACATTTATGCTTACTGTATGGTTCATAGCCAATGGAAATGGTGGCAGAGGCAGAAGATCTGGGTTCAAATCCTGGCCCTGTTGTATCCTAGCTGATTCACTAGGGACTCCTCTCACTATCTATTCATCTCTAAAATGGGGATTACACACTATTTATCTTCAGGATTGGAAGGAGACTCCAGTGTACACTTTAATATGCCCTGTAAATATGAGCTATTATTATGGGAAGAGCCCCAAAGGAAAACTAATTAACTTGGGGTACCTCCTGGCTGCTTAATTCACCCACTGTGTAGCCTCATCTGGATCTAGCCCCCCCAGCACCTACATTATGTTGTATATCCTTCACTGATACTGTTTTCCTTCCAATGAAAACCCCAGTCTTTGGGGGCCTATTCCCTCAGGCCCTTCTCTCTAAGCCTGATCTAGTAACTGGATCATACTAAGGTGCTGAGGGACGATATGTGCTTAATGGGTTACCATCTCCAAGATAAAAACCTTGTTTCAACATGGGATCCCAGTGCCCTCCAAAAGGTATTTTAGATACCTCATGGCCCCTGACGGCCTTTGGGGCCTCTCAGATTATATAACACAGGAATGAACAATCTTTTCACCCCACAGGTAACAAACCAGACAGAAAACCTGCAGAAAACTCCCCAACAAGCTGTCATCCCATCTTGACTCACAAGATTTTCAGTTAACAGGAAACTGGGGCAACTTCTGGGGCAACTCTCTTTGTCAGAACAAGCTCTTCTTGACATTGAGCCTAAATCTGCCTTTTCTGTAACTTGTACATGCACAGCTCTGAGTGCCGCTGAGGGTAAGCAGGGCAAGTCAGATCCACGGGCCACGTAACAGGCCTTCAAACACTTGGCCTCACCTTCCTCCCCACGGATGCAGCTCAAGCACCGCCTTCCACACGACGCCCTGTCTCATCCCCTAAGTGCTAGTACTCCCCCTCCCCAAATACCTTGGATTGAACTACCCTGTATTTACCTGGAAATATTTCAGTGTATACTTCTTACCCTGCACCACCCCACCCCTGCCCCTTAGAATGTAAGAGAATAGAAATGATTTCATTTCTTGCATTTGAATCCACAGTGCCCAGAATTGTGCCGGGCACACAGGAGGCATTTAGTAAATGCTTACTGAATCAAGTGACTGACTAGCACGTCCAATACATCCTCTCTATCTCCAAATCTCATGTAGCACAGCCTCTGGTCCCCTCGTCATTCTGCCCCTGAAAGCATTCAGGGCTAAGCATGAAAGTAAGCTTGGTTCAGGCATACCATCTCTATCTATATTTACCTATGTCTAGTATAGCGCATATAGGTATACGCATGTATATAGACTTATGATACCATGTAAAGAAATTTATGCATGTATATGTATATATTCAATCTATATTTATTCTGTATATATACATGCATATATATGAATGCATGTATGTTATCTCTATGTTTCTTTCTTTGTGTGTTCTCTCTCCCCTCCTTCTCTCTCTCTTCTGTCTCCCTCTTTCTCCTTCCCCTTCTCTCTCCTTCCTTCTTTCTCTCCCTTACTCTCTCTCTCTTTCCTCTCTCTCTCTCTTTCCTCCCTCTCTGTCTCTCTCCCTCCCTCTCTCTGGCTCTCTGTGTCTCTCTCTCTGTCTCTCTCTCTCTCTCTCTCTCTCTCTCTCTCTCTCTCTCTCTCTCTCTCTCTCTCTCTCTCTCTCTCTTCCCTTGTTGGCTCTAACATTGGCTTCCCGAGGACAGGAATTGTTACTTTTTTTGTCTTTGTCTTCTCAGCCCCTAGCACGGTCCTTGGCACATGGCAGGCGCCTAATAAATCGTTGATTCACTCATTTATAGGGTAATCATGGCCTACTTTTCTCAGTCCCTCCCATGCTGCACCCTGGTCTGTCTGCTCATATCGGGCTCACTTGCTGAAAGGCTCAATGTAATTTTTAGAGCTGGAGGGGGCCTTGGAAATAATTCAGGCCCCTTCCTTCTCCCACTGGAGAGAGGATAGATTGAGACCTGCACTAATTGTGGGTCATCTTCAATCACACAGCTGGAGGCCAAGTCCCCTAAGCCTCGGTCCATGGTTCTTTTCCCCATACCACTCACTCCTGTTCCAAAGCAATTGTTTCTCTCTGGAACATCCTCCCCCTGAAGCAAGCAAAGTATATTCTGTCCAGTTTCGGAAAATCCCAATGGACCCATGTAACTTTTTCCCCTAATGTGAGAACTCCCTCCACCGACATAGATTTAGAAATGTCTGTGATTTGGTAATTAAGCCATACTGAGTGGCCTGAAGCCCTAAGAAATTAAATGACCTGCCCAAGGTCACATAACTAGTGAGCACCAGAGGCAGGATTTGAACCCCAGGCCTTGCTGGCTTTAAGCCCAGCAGTACACTAGCCACTAAGCCAGGCTGCTCATTACTTTAAATGCTCAACAAAATCCCCCTTCTCTGCCTCGCCCCTCTCCCAAGCCTTCCCAATTTGGTCAGAGGATGCAAGGTTTCTCCCAGCCCCTCTGCATCAGAACATGGAAACTAGTTATTTCCAATAAGTTTGGGTTGACAGCTGTCCTCAAGCCCTACAAAGAACAGCTTACTGTTGAATTCATGTCTCAGCCTCATGCTCTCAGGCCTCTCAGCTGATACTACTTGGTCTCGAACTGCAAACTTCCCTAAGGCAGGGCCCGCTAGCATGGGGCTGCTCCAATGCCCTCTGCGGAGGGTTTCTTCAGAAGCCCACATGGAACATTTTACACATAAGCCAACGATCTGATATCACCAACTAACACCATAGATTAGGGGTCCCCAGATGTAGAACTGAAAGGGACTTGGAAGGCCACAGACTCCAGCCATCTCACTCTGGAGCCTAAAGAGACCAAGGCCAGAGAAGGAAAATGGGCTGGGACTTGAATTAGGTGTCCTGAGCCCAGCTCTGGTCTTCATCTACTTCAAGCCCTTTGATAAAGATCAGAGGGTCTGGGTGGATGATAGTGGAGACATTTCTCTAAGGCTAGGAGTAAGGGGGAATACATTTTTGAATTACACATGAAATTTTAAAGATTATCTCCCTGTCTTCAAGATGCTCCCAGAGTTGGTCTGTAGAGAAAACACCAGAGTGACAGCTGATCTTATTTTGAAAAATCTGGTTGCTGCATTTTTCCTTGTTTATGGATAATTATTTCTAATTGGAACCTGTCCCATTTCTTAGCAATTAGTGACCACCTGGAAATAGCTGATAGCCGTAGGCAGAGTCAAGGGTTATTGTTCTCAGTTCTCAGTGATTAGTTCCCAAGAAATACCCTGCCTAGGAGCTGCAGCTGCTATAAAAAGCTGAGACAGGAAAATGTGAAAGTACAGGGACTTGGGAGCAAATAAAAACATGTATGTGACCAGCTCATTACTGGAATCTGATTCTGTGAGCCATGTTTCCCATTCCATTCAGCTCAGCATTGTGATACGTCACATTCACCATCTTTATATGAGACATTATCATGTCTTTATCACACTGAAGAAAACGTTCTCTTCTTCGGGTGTTTCAGAACAAGGATCTCAAACCATGCCACGAATCCAAGGGTGGCTCCCGTGACATGTGGCCAGCGGTCCTTCAATCCAGATGTACATGGAACTGGATCAACAGATCCTTCTGATGGTGAGCAAAGACTAGCTTGCCTCTATATAACTGTGCAAATGTTGTTTCCTCCATTAGCCTGTGAGCTCCGAGGGAAGGAAGGGAATGAGAATATATTAAGCGCCTGCTGTATGTGCCAGGCACTGTGATAGGCACTTTGCAACAACCCTGAAAGTTAGGTGCTGTTACTATTCCCATTTCACAGGCCAGGAAAATGAGGCAGGAAGCAGTTAAGCAACTTGGCCACACAACTAGTGAATGTCTGGAGCGGGATTTGATCTCAGGCCTTCCTGAATCCAGGCCCAGCACTTTATTTACTGGGCTACCTAGCTCCTTGAGAGCAGATACTGTCTTCTTTGTATCCCCAGAAATGAGCACAATGCATAGTAAGTCCTTTATGTTGACTTGACTAGTAGTGTATATTAACTAGTGTGACAAATTAAAATCAAATATAGTTTGAGTTTAAAACTACTCTTCTAGACAAAAAGCACGATTTGGTTGGACGTACCATGACCTCTAATTTTGAAAAGTATTAAGAATGATGGGACTGAAAAGAGGTAGTCATAATTTCTCTACATGAGCAAAAAAAACCCCACGTATTTCACTTTTTAAACAAGATACAAAGCTCCTCTAAGACCTACATCTTATAACTTTGATATAAGATTCAACAGGTTGCTCAACCTTGCCGAAAACAACCAGCTCTATGCATCGCACAAATGGAAGCTTACTTACAGCTCCCTTGTACACCAAGCTTCAGCTTTGGTATTTCTTCTGGGTTGTGAGAACAAGATGGGCCTGAGATCTGTACCCTCAACAGGAATGCAATTAAAAAAGTTTTCCATCATGCCACTGCAAGTTTAGGCAGATTCCAACTTCAAATCAGGAGGCATTTCAAATCAAGGGCATGGGTGGCTGGTGTCACCCAGGACAGACTGGATGTAGCAACCCCCAGAGGAACAATTTTGTATTAGTACTGCGTTTCAGGACTGTACTGGGTAGAAAGGAAAAGTCAATTATTCAACCAGCACTCCAGAGAAGGGGGGTGGGTGGTGGTGGTGGTAATGTCTCATAACGATTTATCTTTGGAGAACAAGAATTACTCATACCTTCTCTGAACAATCATAACAAATCCACATTTATAGAAGTAGTGTTTTGGAAATAAATCATCAAACCAAGATAGTAGTTGAGTAATCTTAGACATGTGAGATTCATGAGAAAATCTTTGCAGAGAAAGGATAAGAACAGTCAAGAATTTAACCATCTCTCCAAAGATGTTTTTTTTAAATCATCTAATGGCCTAAAAATGCTTCTTTCTTTCATTCTCTTTTCTTTTTGGGGGGGAGGGGGCATTGACCTGGAAGGGTGGGCAGCACGGCCAAATGAGCAGTCCTGTATCCTTCCTGGGACAATGTGGAAATTTTACCCTGAGTTATATTGATAAATGAATATGCATGTAAGTGTATAAATAACTCGATGAGGAGTGGATTCAGTATGAAAGCTGAGACAAAGCAGTACAGTCAACAGGACAAGCCAACAAGCATCTATTAAGTGCCAACTGTGTACCAAGCACTGTGCCAAGTGTTAGGGATGCCAACAAGGGCAAAAGATAGTCTGCTCTCAAAGAGCCCACAGTCAAATGGGAAAGACAACATGCAAACAATGAGGCATGAACTAAATTGAGGTCCTTGGACTGGACGAACTTTAGGTTCTGGAACTCTATGAAGCTAGAAAATTGATCTCTTGGTGCCAATTAAAGGGATAGAACGTTTGAAGAAATTAAATGAGAAATTGGCAGAATCTTTATAGATCACAAACAATCGAACACAGCCTACAACTCGACAATACCTAAGATTTTTAATTATATTCAGAGAATGGCTGTCTACAGCAGCAAACCCTCCTGCCCCCAACGAGCACATCTGAATTTTCTTCACACTGGTTCCTTTTTTAGCTTGTGTGTGTGATTCTGAATGAGGAATAAAATACGCGATTTTGGGTTTTGGAAACATGAATTTACAATCCTTCAAGAGGAATGAGAGGAAAAAACTCCTAATAGATGCCTGGCTTGGAAGTGCCTTTTATTCAATTCCATTTATTATTATTTTTTAATGGAAGAAAAGGAATGAGACAAAATTGCAACTGAGTGGTCACCACCTTTCTGTTTCAATAGTGAATACAGCAGCTGCATCCACATAAAGAGCTGCCATTAGAAATCTCTTTCATCCATGGTTTTTATCTAGCCTAGGCCGATATGTTTTTTTTTTTTAATGATTTTCAATGAAAATTGGAAGAAGAAAGCTGAAACTGAAGATATAAATCAGATTCATCATTCCACTATCCCGATTCCTCGTTCTTATTTTTGAAGTAAATGCCAGATCTCACCTGTTAGAAGTAAAATTGTAATAGCCACTTTCTTCCAGCACTTCTTCAATCACAGTCTAGAGGTGAAGGAAATTCAGTTCAGTAACTGAATGAAATATTCACTGAATGAAAAGTCAACAACAACAAAACCATATAATTGTTCAAAGGCAATACACAAACCTGACCTGCATCTGTTCATAGGTTATTCCCTCCTCCAGATCAAGGCTGCTGGGAAGTCCTGAAATAGTTAAATGATATCAGGTAGGTGAACATTAGAAGTCTGGCTGAGGTTAAGTTAACCTTTGATAGCAATTAGGACACAACTGTGGGGAGAACACAGCAATTTCTTAATGATAAAAATGGGTAATTTCTCCTATTAGATCAATCATAATGCTAACATGAAAAGTTGATGAAGGAATTTCTATTGCAAAACAAAACACTCCTTACCCATTGCTAAGTAAGTAAACTAGAGGCTAGTTACGAGAGCCAGACTGCCACGGACCGCCTTGCTGAGCTACAGAAACCCCACGGAGCCAATAAGGCACACCAATGAGGCATACGCTCGGAGGAAAAGAATCGGGAGGGAATCAAGGGGGTGCGAAAAAAGGCAGCTGAGCTTTTGTGTGGCTGCCTAGAGAGGAGGCAGATCCAGTTGACACAACCGCTGGAACAAAAACCGAACCCCAACAGTCTTTGTCCTTCACTGTTCACTCCCCTTGTCCCAGGTGGCCATGACATAATGGGCTCTGAGCTCTTTCTGGAACTCAGGGCTGGGTCACTGTGCCTGAGCAGAGCCTGGAAAGCTCTTGGAAAAGAGAGCAAGGGTTTCCTTTGTCTCCTCAGAGCATTTCTGGCCTGAAACCCATTCATTTGCCGTAACAGACATCAAGGCAAGCTGCTGTGCTCCCTGCTGACCTTGACCTGAGGGCCTGTTGGCTTCCCCATGCTCCTCATTTTAGAACCTTGGCCAAGCTTTGGAAATGCTATTGCAAAACCAGAAAAGAAATTCAGTCGTTTGAGGAGTGGGACTGCTTTGTCTGATGTCCAGAGCACAACAAAACCCCTCGTGCTTTCTAAATCCAACAGGATGGCCCTGATTCCAGAGCAAGAATGTGTGGTCAGCCCAGCAAGCATCACCATTTAAAGGACTTCAAAGACTGACGAAGGGTCTGAAGGCTCAGAGCCACCTTCTCACAGCCATGTGAGTGCTAAATCCATGCAGGAGATGTTCAAAAACAATTCTGTCAGGCCTCTCATTCGAATACTCCACAAAATGTCCAGGGCCTGATTAGCCCCACCCTTCCCTCCATCTCTTAGGTGTTTCACCTCATGGGCATTTCCATCACAGAATGAGCAAGAGAAAGCGGAGAAGCAAATCAAGCAACTGGAAGGAACCCCTGGTCCATCTACTCCAAGTCTCTTTTTACAGGTGAGGTCACGGAAGCGAAATGCCTTTGCCTGGGTCCCTCAGGTAATAAGCATTGAAGGGAAGGTATGAAGATGAAACACGCGGGTTAAAAGAATATCCGGTAAACTCCAATGGGTTTGAATTAGAAGTGATATGCCTACCCCCTCTGCTTTTGACCTGTCCTCCTTGCTACCATGGATAGTCAAGAATTGGTTCTGTTTTCTTTTCCTTCTAAGATGAATTCTCTTTACTGAAAACTGCCAATCAAAACTGCCATATTTCCTAGCAGAAAAGTAGATTTCAAAGTATGTTCTGAGCACAAAATCATTACCTGTCCTGTCATTTGGGGATAGGGTATTTCCACCTGATGAGTGCAGTAATAAATGACAATCTGCTGTAAAAAAGTTCGGTTCGATTGGCTCTGGAGATCCTTGGGACAGCTGAAAAGCAAAATAAAAGGATGAGCAGCAGAATTCTCTCCAACCCAGATGGGGTGAGGTTTGTAGTGTTTTTCATTTCTTTGCATTCATGCATAGAAGAGTCAGGGCTCTGTGGTTTTCAGTATCTTGTAAATAGATAAGAAAACATCCTCCTTCCAAAGGTGCTTATCAGAAAGTGGAGGCAGCTAAATCATCGTCAAAGCAAGCTAGATGAGTCCCTAGTCACAGGGGGAATAAAAAGTCCTAGCAACATTATATTTTGTGAATGCAAATTTTTTTAATTGTATAGAAACATAATGGGGTGGAGATGCAACCCCAAATTGTTAGTTTTATCAGATGCAAAAGAAATAAATGCCAATTATTCAACAAAACAATCTCTTTAGTCCAAACCACATTTTCTTTCATTCACTTTCTCTGAAGAGTGACTGACCAGAGAAAACTGCATTTCTTAATACAAATTTTTCAAATTGCTATTCACTAATTTTTGTCTAGAAACATTTTCCTCCTCTCACTTTGAATCTGGGCCTAACACGAGGCAAAAAGATTCACTCCATGACAGAACTTATGAAAGCAGCAGTTACTGACTCCCCTTCTCCACTACTGAATCTTCTGGCCATCTTTTTCAGTTCTAAATAACAATTTCTCACCTCTCTTTTCCTCATCGGTGCCAAGCACCTGTAGTGCTGGAGTCATTTCAGGTTTTTGAGTTAGTACATTTTTAATGTGAGTGCACAGGCACAAAGCAGCCATGAGTTGGACCATTCAGACAATGCAACATAAGTCAAGTCCTTTCCCTTTTGAGGGCATGGCCCCAATTCATGACTCCTAAGCACATTACTTCCTTAACATACTCTGCGTACTGGCCATCCCAAAAACCCCTGCCTCTTCCAGATTCCAAACTGCCCCCAAAACACACTCTAGCCAGAAAGGAGGCATGTTTCTGTTCTCTTCTTAAATCCTGACATTCTCTTCTTCCATGCAACAAGCATTCTGTCATCCTAAAAGCACTAATATAAATGCTACTAGTTTCCCTCAGCCTTCTCTTCCTCTCTTCTCCTTATCCTCTTTTCTTTTCCTCCTCTTCCTCCTTCTTCTCTTCCTGCTTCTCCTTCTTCCTATTGGAATGTGTGCCTATTGAGACCTGTGACTTTCTCTCTTTTTTATTTCACCCCTAGAAAACTTAGCATAGTGCTTGGCACACACATGTCATAAAGGCTGAATGTTTTTTCACTGATTCATTCATCTGCCTTCAGGGGTATTTAAAGACACCTGAAATTAATGGCAACTACTAAGTAACAGGATGGTATCCAGATAACATGGTAAAATAGTATGAAATTACAGGTAGCTTTTAAATATCAAATACTGCATGGGATACCATCAAGGTACTCATTTGAAAAATGTGTGTGTGGCTCTTTGTATGCAAGGGCTTTTCACAGAATCAGAATCACAGTTTCAGAGTTGGAAAGGAATCTCAGAGGCCCCTACCTGAAAAAGAATACCATCTACAACACACCCACCAAGTGGCCATCCACTTAGCCTTTGTCTGGAGAGCTCCAAGGAGGTGGCCCCTATGAGCTCTGCTCTGGAGGCAGCCCAAGTCTCCTGTGTGATCTGAATTGGCCTCTGCCACCTCTGGCCGTAGTGCTGAATCAGCCTCTGCTGCCTCTGGCCATGGTTCTTAGCTCTGGCTTTGGGGTCCAACTCTGCCTCCCAGTTTTTCTGGTTTCCTGTCAGTCTCAGCTCAAACTCTACTTTCTGCAGGGGCCTTTCCCAGTCCCCCCAGCTGCTACTGCCTTTCCTCTAAGATTACCTCCCCTTCACATAGAGTGAGATTTAGAGAGAGATGGATAAATTGGTCTTATGTATAAGCATGTAGCTGTTTGACTGTTATCTCCCCATTAGAAAATGAACTCTCTGAGTGCAGAGACTGTTTTCACCTTTCTTTGTCTCTCCAGTACCTAACACAGCGCCTGGCACATCCTAAGTGCTTCAAACATGTTAGTTGACTTGACAAGACTGCCCTTCAAATACTCGCTAGCTATCATGTCTGCACCCTGTCCCCCAAGTCTTCTCTTTTCCAAGCTAAACCACACAAGATCCCTCCATCACACCTCTCTGGGCATGGATTCAAGGATTTTCACCATCCTGGTTGTCCCCTGGATATGCTCCAGCTTTCCAAATCCACATGGTATTTAGGATAGATTATTCCTACAGGAGTATGTAGAATGGATTGAATGGCCTAGGGTGGTGTCAGGGAGGCTAGAAACATAGATGTCTAAGGCATTTTAATGGTTAGATCTATGGGTCTTGGTGTCTTCATGGATGACATGGGCAGCATGAAACAGTGAAGAGTCAAAGGTAACTCCAAGATGAAGAACTTGGGGTTGGGGGACTATGACTGACAGACTAAACAGTCAGGAAGGGAAGCAGGTTTTAGCAGGAAATGATGAAACTAGATGTGAGAAATGATGACATAGAAACAGAAATGGGCTGGAGACAATTGGAAATACAAGACTGGAAAAGCCAGGGACATTTCTTCTAGGCATTATTAAACCAGAATATGTAAAACTTTTACGATAGATGGTTGTTCACTTAGGTGAGCATGCTATGATCCCAAACACATTTGAAGCCACTTAATAGAATCATAGGATCATAGATTAGAGTCAGGGACCTCTGAGATCATTACATTTGACCCTTGTACACAGAAAGAAATTGGAGGCCAGAGATAGTAAGTTCCTTGCCTGAGGTCACATATATAAGAAACGGAAGCTGCATATTTTAACCTGGGTCCTCTTAATACATCATTTTATAAACCCACAATTCCTCTACAAGCATCTCTGACAGAATTTGAACTGGACAACCCTGGATCCCTTCATCTCCAGAAAACCCATTTCTGTAGGCCCAGAGATAATTCTCTTGTCCAGAGTGATCTAAAACCCTTAGACACAGCAAATTACTCAGAAGGGCAGTGTGGCGTGATAAAATGAATATCAGATTTGAAGTCTGAAGATAAGATTCAAATCCAAACTCTGCTATTTATCACCTGGATGACCTTGAACTGGTCGCTCACTTCTCGGACCTCAGTTTCCTCACTTGTCAAACAAAGTGCTCATACCCCGTAATCTACATTCACCTTCTAGCTCTATGAACTTAAAAATCAGTACGTTAAATAAAAACGGTGACATGCCCACAACATACTTTTTGTTATAATTCAGTCATTTTAGTCGTGTTTGATTCTTCATCACCCCATGTGGGATTTCTTGGCAAGGATACCAGAGAGACTTAATATTTCCTTCTCCAGTTCATTTGACAGATAAGGAAATTGAGGCAAACAGGGTTAAGTGACTTGGCCAGGGTCACCTAGCTACTAAGTGTCTGAGGTCAGATCTGAACTCAGGACGATGAGTCTTCCTGACTTCAGACACAGCAATGTATCCACTGCACTACCTAGCTGCCCCATACTAACTTTACCAAAATACGAAGCTTGAGTTGTGAATGATTCTGTCTACATAATGCTACAGGTTTGGTATTTTTAAAAGGGTCAACTGATAATGTCCTTCACTAAAGACCTACTCTGATTCTAGGTTCTTAGGCAGTAGACCTCAGACTTGGACAGATTCTAGCAAGCCGGAATGGCCCTGTGACGGATGACATCTGTTATCCAAGGACCAGATTAGCCAATATAGCCAAGAGACTGGCCCAGGGATAATGGACTGTTTTTCAAATGACAGCAATTCACAAAACCTGACTGCTAGAGCAAAGAGAAGTTGTTACCTGTGTCAGAGAAAGGAGTGACTACACCAGTAAAATCTGACTCCTTGAAATATTGAGGGATAATTTAAATTATAATGTTTTAGGAAAAGAACTACATTTCATAAGAAACCCAAAGCATCAAAAGACAACTGGAGATAATGACAACGTTACTCATACCAGAATTCATGTTATTGTATTTTGGTGACCTTATCACAAAAGAAGGGCATCACTTGCAGCTGAAACTAATATACAAATTAGGAAGAATCTAATTTCCTTTGTGCAGCTTCTGAAGGAAATTGTGCAACACTTAAATGGAAGCAGGTGGCAGAAATGAAAGGGGTTTTGATAGGTACTGCTACTCTCTCTCCCTCTCCATTACCCCCTTCTACTTTTTGTTGTATGTTTTTCTCTTCTTTCCTTCTATCCCCCTTAATTGACTTACACCACTTTGAGAACATGCTAGATTATATTTTAATAGAAAACTAGGTTTGTGGGATGTTCCTGCTATTTCTCTTGTTTTCTAATAGCTTTTTAAATAACCATTGTCTATAACCATGGAGACCAGAAGCCCTTCATTTGGGTTCAAAACATCAACTTAGGGGAGTCATGGCTGGATAGTAGTGGTTCTTGTGAAAAAAAAATACCTGTTTGCATCAGAGTTTAATTTTTGGAATTTTGGTGCCTTAACAGGAGGCAGCAATGGGATGTGCTCACCAAGAGGATGACTCTAACCCTAATCTGGAGGTCTAATTGTTCAGAACATGGGAAGTGACAAGACATTCCCAAGAGCATCTGACCTGGTCAGACCACGGGGTGCCTCTTTGTTAGGGAGAACATGGACAAGTTGGGGGTGTCCAGAGGAGGAAACAGGCTGCTGTAAGAGCTTCAAGACCATATCACCGGAGATCAGACGATGGAGCTAGGGATAATTCCCCTAGAGAACAGAAAACTTGAAGTGGGAGAATATGACAGAATATCATACATAAAGAGAACATGTCTCTAATTTTTTCTCCAAAGGGCTCTCAGGAGGAAGGGGGATTAGACTTGGTCCATGTTGCCTTAGATGGGACGGCAAAAAGGTTGACTTCAATTTATTATAAGGAGAAACTTCCTAATAACTGGCCCCATCTAAAAATGTAATGAGCTACCTCAGGAGTTGATGGGTTCCCCATCACTGGAGATCTTCCAACAAAGGCTAGATGGCTATTTTGGAGGTATGTTATGGAAGGGATTCCTGTTTGGGAACAGGTTGGAGCTGGCAGTCACTGGGGTCCCTCTCAGCTCTAAGATTCTAGGATTCATCTGGCCTGGGTTTCTAGATGGGTTAGAGCCACAATTATTTCCCCTGAAGCTGGGAAAAGCTACAGCCTCAGGTCTCTATAGGATAAGGAGAAGTGAGTAAGTATCTCCTGGCCCCGCTAGACAAAAGGGAAATTCTGCTTTTAGAAGCCTCACTGTCTGATTGTCAAGGACTGATCTTATGGCCTTATACCTCTAGTAGTAGAAGGATTGGGCCATCAGGGAAGCTGCTTAAGGGGACACACTAAAGCACAGGAATGAGTGATCCAGCTGGCTGGTGCAGTAGGTATCTATCAGGACAATACAGGGGCAGAAGAGAAGAAGAAGGAAGGGAACCAGAGGGACAGACTGTATGGCAGGTGGAATCCTCATGGTAGAGTCAGGTTTCAGTTAAACCAAGAAGGCAGGTGAAATGATAGAAGACTGGTTGAGGATGTAGGGAAATTTGTGGATAATAGTGGGAATTCTGAAGGGTCACATGGAATGGGCTGGGCAATACACAACCCAAGGTAGAGTGGAACTGGCAAGGCAGAGGAGTGATCAGAGGGAAAAGGCATAAATAAGGGCACGATCCATGGGACCATGGGGCAAGGACAACAGGGCTTAGCTATGCTGTGCTCCCCGAGCAGAACCAGACTGCTGGAGGAAGGTGGAGCTCGTCTTCCCTACAGTTCAAGATCACGCTTAAAGCCTTGGTGTCACAGAGGGTTGTGGCCTACATTAGGCTTCTCCTACTCATATGTTAGGTCACTGGATTGAGAGTCAACAAGCATCATCTTTCTCCTTCCTTTAATTTAAGGTTAGACCATGTACTGTGTTGGGCACCCCATTAATTCTGTTAAAGAGGTGACTCTTAGGCACACCAAGATTTTCCATTTGTATTTCCCATATAGCATATTATACCATGGGAGGGTGCTCTGGGGTATCCAGGCTCTTTCCTCAAGCTGCTTTCCAAAGAATACCCAATGGGATTCTTAAGAGGTTAGCTCAGATTGCCTTATAAGGTTGCAAAACATAAACAAGTTGAGCTCCACTTGAGACCCCCTCAAGTTACCCCACTTCCCTTTAGAGTCTCTTGATTAATGGAATCTCATGGGTTAATGGAATTAACAAGAACCTACTCTCTGGCAGACAGGGGCACAGAGAAGCTGGTGAGAAGGCAAGCTGGATGAGTTTCTTGGCCACTTAGCACATCAGGTGCAGAGAGGAAGATGACATTTCATTAGTGACATATGAACCAGGAAACTCAACCAACCTAAGAGGAGAGTATATGTGTATTTTTAAGTGGTGCAAAGTTGTAGCGGTCCAGAGAGTCGTCGTTCCAATCCAGCTACCAGGGAGACTGGGAGCCATGGTTGCTTTCATGCTATAAGACCAGGATTTGCACTGTTCTGTAAGCCTGAGATTTTGCTGTATGTCATTTTAATAATGATGAGATTTTAGCAAACCCAATCTTTCCTCAGAAGTTCTGAGCTTCTGACTGTTTAAAATGTGTTTGGTGTGCATTCCTACTGCAGCATGTAAATATTGTAGAGTAAATAGCTGGAAACTCCTTCTGTCCTGTTTTGATCTCCCATGGCCATGTGTCTATGCCCTACTCACCAGTCCAGCCCATGAGAGAGGCAGGAGCTCTCTGATCTCAGCAGAGGTGGTTTTATGCTTTGTTTATCTGCAGCTGCCTGCATTTTTACACCTCCCTTCTTTCAATATGGGCATCGGTGAAGCAAGATGTGGATAAAAACATTCTGTATCTATTCTTTTTTTTTAATCAAAGAACCCATCCTATCTCCCAAATAAAGAGCAGCGGTACACTTACCCATTGAGTTTGTGATGGGGAACAAGAACCTTGGTAAAGAAAAACTAGCTGATCAAGTGTGGAGGCTGTGCCCAAACTGATACACTCAAAATCTTGGAAGAAAGTCTTTGGGCCCTAACCTCATTGAGCCTTAGTATACTCAGCCATAAAATGGGGCTACTGCAACCTGTAACATCTACCTCCCAGGGATGCTGGGAGGATCAAATGATAAATTATGTGAAAAGTTCTTTGGAAAGCCCAAATCAGCCAATATTATCGCTAATAATCATGAAAATAACAAGCTCAAGTAGGACTAGAGGGATTGAGAGCTGGACTCCTCAGGATCAGGAAGACCTGGAATTGGATCAGGAATTGGAATCCTGTCTCAGATCCTTACCAGCCCTGTGACCCTTGGCAAAGCAGTCAACCTCTCTTCAGTGTGTTCATCTGTAAAACGGGCATGATGATCTGATAATAACTCACAGGGCTGCAGGGAGGATCAACTAAGATAACATGTATGTAGGGTGCTTTGTGCTTTGCCAACCTTAATGCTTTCTATACGTGTTAGCTACATTATTATTGTTGTTGTTATAATCAGCACTACCCCTTCTCTGAATGGACTCATTGCACCGTGGTGACTTGGGTCTATCTGAGAATGGGGAGTCTAGTGGTCCTTCCTCAAAATGGTGCCCTAGACAAGGAGTGGTGGCCCCGGCCTCGGCTCTGCTTTTCTGTGTAGCTTCTAAAACTCCTCCATGCCCTAGCTTCCCCATCTAGAACATAAAGAGGCAGCCTATCCACACAAGTGCGGCAAATCATGCAATCTCAGGGCAGGAGAGGACGGCAAAGGTCATCAACCGCTCCCTCATGCGGTGGATGACAATACTGGGCTTCTTGTTCACCATCACAAAGCCAGCCAATGGTGGCCCAGGGGCTAGAACTCTAGTCCTCTGAGTCAGAGCCTAGTGAAGTAATTGAAGATTAGCAGCTAAAGGGGCAAAGTATTTTTTTAAATTATATTTACATAAAATAACAATTCATTTCTTCAGCTTTCTTTTATCCCCATAGTATTTAAGGAATATGATACTGCCTTCCCAGAAAGACAGCTGGAGAAATCAAGAGAATTAAAGAGAATTAAAAGTGTTGCTTTCCCTCATTTTGTACCTCGAGCATGAAAGGTTCCCCTGCGCCCTGCACAGAGGATCAATGAGGGCACCACGGGAAAGGGAATGGGTCCCCCCGCCCCCGCCCCAATGCACTGCAGCCGATACCAAGATGAGCTACTGCCATATATAGAATACTGTACCTTTTTAATTTCAGATTTCAAGTTACAAGGATTGCTCTGCTGGCTGAAGAGGGATTTCTTGAATCTCTCAATAACCCTTCTTTTCAAATTGTGGTGCAGAGCAGGAGGGAGCTGCAGGGAATCAGAAAACAACCATCATGACCTAACTGAGACCACCGCAGAGCAGCCTTGGAGGTCCTCTGGATGGAAAGGCTGCGTCATGATAGTTAACGGCATTAGAATCAGAACTTGAACTTGTTTCTTAGACCACGGGCTAATTATATGTGTGTATGTATATGTACATATATATGTACATATACATATAATTATATAATTTTTGTATGCTACAGCCCTGAAAGAGCATATGTATGTGTGTATCTACTTACGTATGTATGTACATATATGTATATGCACATACATACATGTGCATATATACATATATATTCTCTATATATCTATTCTACATGCTATACTGTATATATGCACATATTGTCCATATACTGCACTATATTCTGTATATAGCAAATATACATTATGTAATGTGTGTTTGTATATATATATATGTATGTATAATATATTTATATATACAGTTTCTATATTTAAAAGACTGCTTTTATTTACCTCTCACTTTTCATTTCCATTAATATCATGTCACCATTTGCCATGGCCAAACATGTTATAAACACATTCCATTTCATCTCCATGCCTTTGAACTAGCTGTGCTCCATTCTTGGAATGGCCTTACTTCTCCTCTTTGCCTCTTCGAATCCCTAATTCCCTTCAAATCTCAGCTCAAATGTTGCTCCTTACATGAAGCCTTTACTGTCTTACCCCCCCCCACAAATTACCCTGCACTTATTTTGCATCTATTTATATATATACATATGTATGTATGTATGTATGTATGTATATGTATGTGTGTATATGTATATATACGTACACATCGTCCCTCCCAGTCGAACGTAAGATCCTTGAAGGCTGCCATTTTTTCACTTCAGTCTTTGTATCCCCAGCACCTAGTACTAGGCTTAATAAATGCTCATTGATCGGTTTCCATAATATCCAAATGGGTCTTGACTAAGTCCACCCAAAAACTAATTTACATACTGAGTGCCATCATCAAGGCACAAGGTGGTATTACATATTTACTGGGAGCTAGACACCACAGCAAGGCATAGGATGGGAACTACAAGGTCTCTTAGGGGCCACGAAGGATTAAATCCAGAAAACGGGATCATAGGATTTGGAGCTTGAGGGCTTAAGCTGGGTGGCCTCTGAGGTCCCTTCCAGCTCAAGATCTATGATCTTATCAACACAGAAATTACGTTTCAGAGCAGGGAAGAGACTTGCCCAGAATTGCTCAGGAAGTGAGTGGTAGAAACCAGAATTTGAACCAATGTCCTTGAATTGGTTCCAAACACTACAAGAAGATACCTCTGAATTGACAAAGGAGTCTAACAAAGGAGGAGGGCTGCCTCTCCATCAGAACAGGAGGAGAGAATAGATAGCTAGTGCACCTAGTATAGACAGATAGAGAAATGTCGAGCTGATGAGTATAGTACATGGGAGAGCCCCCATCAGATGATCTTGATTTCCTGTAAAGAAGTCAGCTCAAGGTATCTATATGAGAACTACAGGAAAGATATTTAGAGTCATAGCCCCACCAAAGGAAAAAAGACCTGGATGCCACAACATAACAGGAAATACATGAAAACACCAACATTGCTAAAACAAGTCTCCTTCAGATGAACACAGGCTCTTCCCTGTACCAAAAACTAAAACTAAAAATAAATATAAACCCCAGTCCGTGCCATTGCACCCTGTCTCCTCTTCCCTGTCAGTGCCGATAGGTACATATTGCTCCTACACAAAGCAAAATATACTTACTGCCTCTATCTTATGACCACCAGTCACTCTCCCAACTCCTTATATCCGGCTTCTGTCCCCACCACTTTTCCGAAAATGCTCTCCTCCTACTCGTTGTTACGGAAAATACTTTGTCAGACTTTCAAGTAATAATCCATAGTAACATCAATTGGTCAATAAACACCTATGAAATGCCTACTATGCGCCAGGCACTGTGCTAAGCTCTGGGGATAGGAAAAGAGGCAAAAGGCGGTCCCTGCCCTCAAAAAGCTTGCAATCTGAAGGGGGAAATAAGATACAAACAGATGTGTACAAAGCAACCTTTATACAAAATAAACAGGAAATAATAGTGCATTTTTATCACTATGTCTCCAAAGTTACTAATGATGTCCTTAAAACGCATGGAACATTATGAGCTCCCTCTCTTTACCAACTCTGCCCTTCAGATAACCTCATCATCATGCCCCATTTTCTCCTTCTTTGCTTTACCTCCTTTCACAGTCTAAATCTTTGAACAAGGTGTCTACACACATTACTTTTACTGCCTCACTTCCCAATCCCTTTTCAATCTCTTGTAATCCAGTGTCCAGTCTTATCATTTAACTGAAACCGTTCTCTCCAATGGCTTTTGCTTTGTTTTGTTTTGTTTTTCAGTTCTTATCCTGTAGTATATAACAGAGTTGACCAACCCTTCTTGGCAAAGGCACTGGAGTGGTTTGCCATTTTCTTCTCCAGCTCATTTTACAGATAAGGAAACTAAGGAAGACAGGGTTAAGTGATTTGCCCAGGGTCACACAGCTAGAAAGTGTGTGAGGCCAGATTTGAATCAGGAAGATGAGTCTTCCTGACTCCAAGCCCTCGTTGCATCACGTAGCTTCCCCTCCCCTCTATCTTACCTTTATGGAACAACATACTCCTCTACTTAGCTTTGAAAACCCTTCCCAATCTGGCTCCAATGGACTCTTCCAGGCCTTTCGCCCCCCATGTTTTATGCCTTCATGCATTCTACCTTCTGGTCATAGTGGCCTCCTTGATGTCCCTCCACATGACATCCACTTTCCACACTCCTCTGCAATGCTTGGAATGTGATTCTTCCTCACCTCCTCCCTGAAGAATCATTAAGATTCTGTCGAAGTTCAATTCAAACCCCACCTCCTACCAAAGGCCTCTCCTGATCCCACTAGTTGCTAGTGCCCTCCCTATGGAAAATGCTTTGTAGAAATAGCAAAGTGCAGTGGGTAGAGCACTGTGCTTGCAGTCAGAAAGACCTGTGTTTGAATCCTACCTTAGACACTTACTAGCTGTGTTATCTCAATTTTTTCAGCTATAAACTTAGGATAATAAGAGCACCTGCCTCATAGAACTGTTTTGAGATCAAATACTATAAAACATATTCATCAAAGTGTTTTGCAAACCTTAAACCACAAAAAATGTTAGTTATTGTTACTGCTGTTCTTCTCTTTGTACATTTCTTCCCCTGCCCCATTTTCTGTAAATTCCACGAGGGCACAACTAGGACATTTTTAGTTTTACATGCCCAGCATGCAGCATGGCTCCTGGCATATAAACAGGCGCCTAATAATTGTCCTTGGTACTGCCAAATGGTTCAACACCAGGAACAAATATTATTTTATTAATGGAAATGACATTAAAGAGTCATCAACATCTCCTTCGCCACTACACCCTAAGGACCATGGGATTTTTCCATCTGACTTGAAACCAAAACCTTCCATATGTGTTGTCTCCCCCCATCTAATAAGAGCCCCTTGAGAGAAGGGATTATCTTACCTTGCTATTTGTTTCCCCAGTGCTTAGCATAATGCTTCACATTTACTAGGTGTTCAATAAATGCTTTATTCATTCCTTTGTTCAATAAATGTTCATTAAATTAATTTTCTCAAGAAAAGAAATAGCCTCCTAAATGGTCTTATTACATCTCCTCTATCACCTTTCCCACTCATCTTCCACATTTCTCCCTGAGTACTCTTCAGATGTACCACTATGACAATGTCACTCCTCTATCCAAAAGACTTTCAGTGGTTTCCCACTGCCCACCAAATAGACATAAATCACGACCCTGGCATTCAGAAATCTATCCAAATTTCTCAGCATTTTGCCTGGACTTTGCACTAATCTCACCTTCCCTTGTTTCATAGTGTTTTGTCTTATGGGTTTTTTTTTTTGCACATTTGTCCTTATTTGAATTATACTGTAAACTATTTGAGAATAAGGTCTGTGTCATACATTACAGACACTCGGTAAATGTTTGTTAAAGTGAATTGAACTAATTGAGCTGTGATTAACGAAAGACAGAAGAAAAGGCAGAAACACAACATGCTTCCCTTGAGGCACGAGAGGGAAGAAAGGAGGTGGTAGGGAAGAGTCTATCCCATATAATCATAGTCATCTCTCCAAAGCTTGCTAGACAATCCTTCCAATGCCAAAAATCAGATTTGTCATCAACTCAGAACAAACTGGGTAGTTGCCTAGGATTGTCTTGATATATGTATAAAGAAGGGCAAACATGTACAACCAGCTATTTTATATATACTGAACATTCATAATTCAGGAATGTATTACTTGGGAATCATCTTCTCATTACCACTCCTTCCAGAGGGAATGTTTCCAATACTGGCTTTCATCATCAGGTGATAAATTCAAATTAACTTGGAACTCCTGAATATAATTATGATGGAAAACTTCCAACTAACTCAGGTCTGCACTTATTACTTACAGCAAGCCGAAAATAACTTTTTTTATATAAACAACCTCTTTATTCCAATTAAGACTTATACATAGGGTAATATTAGAACACAGTTTTATTAAGATTAATAATGATAGTGAGCATTTATATAACATTTTAAGGTTTACAAAACACTACAAATTTGATCCTTACAACAGCCCTCAGAAGTAGTTACTATCGTTATTTATAGAGAAAGAAACTGAGGCTGACAAAGGTTAAGGATTTGCCCAAGGTCAACACAGCTATTAAGGATCTGAGACAGGATTCGCACTCAGGTCTCCTTGACTTCAAGTTCAGCTATCGATTGTGCTTATCCATTGAACCACCCAGCTAGTCCGTCAAAATGGGCTACACCCCATCTTTAAGTTTTCCAGGTAAGTTTTTACGTCACCCACTAACCAAGAACTCAGGCTATGGTTTAAATAATTATCCATGAGACTGTTCTCGTATACAAAGTAATAATACATCTTTATAGAGCACTTTGAGAATAATTCCAACTTGTATGACTTATAACAACATGCTT